TTTTTCTGTTAGCTATTGCATGCCCAGTAGTTAGGACTGGCTCTGTTATCTTCTCTACCTATACAGTACTAATAAAAAAGTGGTATATTCTTTCATAAGCTCTGCAACTGCAAAGGCAGTACAAGAACTTATATTGATAGACTCTATAACTGCAAGGGCAGTGCAAGGATCTAAAAATTCAATTGTAAAAAGCAGGTAAGTATAGAGATGGGATACTATGCATAGGGTTGTTAAATTACTGTAATTTTATATAATTTTGTAAAATTTTATATAAGTCTTTGCAACATGGCTTTTATATAATTTGTAAAAAATGTGATTATATGCTCATATAATTGGTTAGATTATATGTATATTGATCTGATCCATGAACTTTATGCAGAATCTACTGTAGTTCAATAATGCTAGTTGAGTTTTTTATAGTGCTAGTACTATATAAATTTACAGAAATTTATATTATTGTAATTTATATGAAATTACATATATTGTAAATTTGTAAAATATAAATTTTAACTCTAACTGCATAGGCATTTTTTAAGGCTATGCAGTGCAATTTTCATAATTCTAGTCAGCTTTATAATTCAGATTTGAATTACCAATCAGGATTAGCCTAAAAAAAAAACAGATCTGCTTCACTTAATTAATAGAATCCATTATTATAATTCTAGTTAAATTTGCAGCTAATTTAACTATATTTAAAGTTGTTTTGTTTTAAATTTGGACAAATGATTTGCAAATTTGATCAGAATTATTAATTCACTAATATACAAAGAAAAAGTGAAAAATTGCAAAACTAACATTTAAACTAATATTAGAACACTAATTAAAAATAATGAAAGCCTAACTTTATATATATAAAGTAGATATTTTATATATATAAATGTAAAATCTAATAGTAAGAGTTTCTAGAGACTGAGGCTGTGCAAGCCATGCAGGCTATATGGTCTGCATAGTAAATTCAAAAAAATCTTGATTTTTCTATTTCTAGATAAGTGTCTTATAGACTCTGCAGCTGCATTAACAGTACAAAAATCCAAATTTCAATATTTTAATTAGTCTAAGCTGCAATAAAAGTGCTAAGATTTTATTTTCAGATCTTTTTTTAAGCAAGTGCATTATACTTCTTCCTGTTTTCTAGTTAATTCTTGACATAGCTATATAATTTTTATAAAGAGAAACTGTAATCTGATATTTATAATATTTTAGTTATATATATAAGTAATTTATATTAGTACTATTTAGATATAGCAAACTTATTCATATATGTTATTTCTTTATTATATATATTAATAAAGTTTCTGATTGTGTAATAATAATAATAATTACTTTATACTGATTAAGGTAATATAAGGAATAATAATTTTAATAATTTATATGAAGGAGATATAATAGTTAAATAATAAATATAATGTTAAATAATATGCTAATAGACATTGAGAATTTTAATAATAAGTAATAAAAAATAAAAAAATATGAAATTTGTCTTTAACAAAAGTGAAAGCAATTTTTATTTTTTTTATAACTAAAGAATTAAAGTTTTGTATAAAGTGTGAAAAGCCAATATTTTTTATAATTTAGAAATATATATAAAGTTACAATAATTTTAAGTATTTATTTTTAACTCTAAGTTCATCTCTGTAAGTTCTTAACTTTATCTAACAAGGTCTATTTTTTTTTAAGCTAATTTTAAGAATATATTTCTTCTATTTAACTTTTACTTCATACAAAAATAAATAAATAAAAGAAATGTATATATAAAATTAAAAACATTTATTTATGTTACTTACTTATTTAATTTAAACAGATGCTTATGTAATACTAATGTTGTTAGCCAAAATTGTTTTTAGTTTATTGAAATATTTTAATATTTAGTATTTATTATACCAAAATTTTAAAATAATGCCAAAATTCTAAAATAGTGCCAAAATTCTAAATAATACCAAAATGTCTAAATAATATCAAAATGTTTAAATAATATTAAAATATCCAAATAATGCCAAAATGTTCAAATAATATCAAAATGTCTAAATAATATCAAAATGCCTAAATAATGTCAAAATGTCTAAATAATACCAAAACATTTAAATAATATTTAAATGTCTAAATAATGCTGAAATGTCTAAATCATATTGAAATGTCTAAATTAAAAAAATGCTCAAATAATGCCAAAATGTCTAATTTAAAAAACCTGTTTAAATATCTAAATTAAAAATAAATAATATTATTATTAAGTATCTAAACTAATTTATTTGTTGTAGATTTCATGTAGATTTCACATTATTCTAAAATAAATTTAATTCAAAACCAGTTGCTTTTATGCAGATTTATTTATCATTAATTAATTATCAAATGATATCTACTTGAAAATCATTTATGCAAACTTTTTTTCTAACTAGTTATACTATAAAACTGGATTATTATCAATTAAAAAATAATCACTTTTACATATTACAAGTCCTCTTAAGCAGGTTTAATAATATATATACTCTAAATAATATCTACTTAAAAATTATATGTACTTTTTTTCATATAGTACACTGTATACTACATTCAAAGTCTGTTAATAATAATTGTTATACCTTGGATCTGAATTACTATTACTATAATTTGTGTAACTACAATTAAAGTTATACATGAATGTTTATTTTAAATATATCTATGCATGATTTTATTGCAGATTAGTAACTTTGCATTTAAAATCTCTTGCTATAATAAAGTAATACAATAATGAAGTAGTGTAAAAAGATTTATTAGTGAATATTATAAGCAATATAAATAGCAAAAAGATTATATAAAAAATAAATATACTCATATTCAAAATTTTGTTGAGTAGTATAACAAGTTCTTATTTAACTAAATGATGATATGGTCTGGAATGGGTCAGGCTAAATCTGGAAATTTATGAGCCAGGCCAGACTTGGGCCTAGTTTGGATTTATATTTTTGAGCTTGTTATTATTTGGACTGGGCTTGGGCCAGGTCTACTAAAATACTGGGCCAGGTTTGAGCCTTATAAAAAAGCCTATACAGGTCCAATCATATCTGATAATTTCTTAGCAAAAATCCAATAAATAAAAAATTTATCTATTGGTTAATTTTTACAAATCTATTGCTATTCAAGCATACTATATACAAATATTTAACTATTCATTGTAGTGAATTTATGAAATTTAAGCTAAAATTTGGTCACCAAATCTAAGTATTTGGTCCAATTATAAATTTTGGTTACTGAATTACATATTAATAAATCAATATTAAACCCCAAAAAAGTTTTTAGACCTTGATCTTGATTGATAATGTGTCTAACCAATCTTTCCCACATGCTAATCCATCTTTCTCACCTTTGACGTATCTTATTAGACATAGAATTTCTTATAATGACACATCCTTACCAAGAAATAGTAGTTATTTTAGCCAAAATTCATTATTGTTTTATTAGTGATCAAATTTTTCAAATTTTGGGGTATTTTATAAATTCGCTGTGATGTAAAACTGGGCTTTTCTACTATAATTTAAAGTATTAATTAGTATAAAAAATATTTTGAAGTGTAATTTAATATTCAAGAAATAGTATACTTATTTTTTATATTTTAAACAAAGTTTCTTTGCACAGTAAACATTGACAGTTTGCTAAAATGATAAACAATATCTCTAGTGCCATAATATGATATTTTCTTAAGGCAAGTATTTTTTTATTTATTGGTTAGTTGGTTATTATTTTTTACAGGATTTTTGGTTCTATATTGATTTGAATTATTCTACTAATACTATCTAATAATTACTATATTTCTTATGCTCTGTGCTAAGTTATTACACTATTATTTTATTATTTGTCTTTTACTTATTCACATTCATATGAATCATGATAGTTGTACAAGTCATGTTTATAATCTATTTCTCTACAAGTGTTTTTTTATTAATGGGACATTACATTCTTCAAAAATAGTTTGAATTTGAACATAACATATTTCAATACCAACAATGACCAAATCAATTGTTTGAATAGTTCAAATAAATAAAAAGTTTCTTGAATTATTTCTCTTGATCAAGTTTTAAATGAGTATATTATATAAATATTGATTTTGCTTGCAATACTAGATAAATTTTCTTATTAACTGCGAATTAGTTGGGCTAATAAATAAATAAATTAAAAAAAAATAAGTAGTGTATTTATATACAGAGAGACCACTCTAAGTGCATATGTACCCTCTATAAATGCACTCTTTATGTAAAATCTCTCTAAATGCATGGTGTAGTTTGGTTCTAGCTTACAATTGCATTATATATTTTTCTCTTTATAAATATGCAACCTCTCTAAATGCACATTTTTAGAATTTTTACTATACTTCTGAAAGGGTGCATTTAGAGAGATCTCTCTATATTTATTTACTGTATAGTTAGTTGCTTTCAAAGTTTGTCACAGTTATACAAATATCGACATCCAGATTAATGATAGTATATTGCATGCAAAGCAATAAAACATTAATGAATATAGTGGACTTTCAGTATACAAAAATCACTAGTCCTGCCAAAATCTTTGTTATATCAAGGTTTTTTTATATTAAAAGCTTATTATTATAAAATTTTCAATTGGGACTTATAAAATCTTCTTATATCTAGAGTTGTATACATAAATTTTATATGTATGAAAAATATGCATGTAACACAATTTAAGATAATGTATATGTAACAAAATCCACCCTTGTTGTTTGCCATTAGAGACCCACAGAAATCAAACAAGTGTGTAATTTTAAGAGAATGTATATATATATTAAAAAAAATAAATAAACTATATAGAAAAGAGAAAGAATAAAATATATATATGTATATAATATTATTAATAAGGAAAAGAAGTAATGTCATGAAGTAAAGTGATATTTCTGAAAATAAATAATTACTATGCTGAAGATTTCGTGAATCCATAACTGGGGCTCTATAATCAAGGCTGTGTACTATATGTTATAACTCATAGTATAATAATAAATGACTGATATAATATGAAAAATGAGTCATAATATGGGTAGTGTGTTGAAAAGACAAGTAAAAAGATCAGGTAAAAGAGAAAAAATTAAAGTGAATTTGTATAAGACAAGCAAAAGGCTTAGGTAAAAGAGAAAAAATTAAAGTGAATTTGCATCGTGAGTTATAACAATAGCAGTTAATTTTTAAAAAGCTCTTTTCTTAATTTTGCTCTAGTCATAAAAGAGCCATTTCTCTTAATCTAAAAAACCTTTTTTTTAATTTTGCTTTGGCTGTAAAAAAGTTATTTTCCTCAATCTCAAAAGCCCCTTTATTAATTTCACTTTGGCTGTAAAAGAAGTAATTTGTCTTAATTTAAAAAGTTCTTTTCTTAATTTTGATTTAATTATAAAAAGAGTCATTTTCTTAATTTTGTTTTGACCATAAAAGAATCATTTCTCTAAACTAAAAAGTCTCATTCTTAATTTTGCTTTAGCTGTAAAAGAGTCATTTCTCTTAAGCTAAAAAACTCTTTTCTTAATTTTGCTTTGGCTATAAAAGAGTCATTTTCCTTAATCTAAAAAGCCTCTTTATTAATTTCACTTTGACCATAAAAGGGGTAATTTGCCTTAATTTAAAAAGCTCTTTTATTAATTTCGATTTGATAATAAATAAGTCATTTTCTTTTTTTAATTTTGCTTTGGCCATTCCTTAATTTCACTTTGACTGTAAAAGAATCATTTTCCTTAATTTAAAAAGTCCTTTAATGTTGTTAAGTATAAAAGTGCTGTAATTTTATCTTGTAAAAGAATAAGATCATACAGGTTAATAATTAATAAAGTTAGTAAAACAATAATCTTAAAATAAAACTCTTAAGGTTTGCTAAATCATCTTAGTTGCATTCTGGCAAATTGCTCAGCATCTTCTTTGCTTTATATTCATATACTATAAGTTACTCCATAACAGTTAAATTAGGATTGATTCTTTTTTTATTTTTTTACTTATTTTTATTGTATATTTGAATTAAACTATTACACTAAGAGAAATGAATTTCAGTACATATATTTAAGAAATTACAGTCTTATTTACAGTACTTATATTTTAATTAAACTTATTAGAATGTAAAATTTCATCTATTATAATTAGAAGTGCAAAGTATTAACTCTGCTATTAGTGAAAATATTCATATTGCCATTAGTGAAAATGTTTCCATCATTAGCAAAAATGAGAATGAAGGTCCTGTTTATGAAACTCTTGAAACTACTACAGCCAATAAAGGCACTGAAACAACTGCTAATAAAAGTTCTGAAATAGTTTCTATTAATAAAAAATGTAAAAAAGGCAAATCAGAATCATGGGTGTTTAAAGATAGTCATTTTATTAAACACGATTCTCAGAAAAGTATAAATTTTGCTTTATATATACTTAATTATTGTTGTTAATTACATTAATTAGTTAACCTTTATACTGTTTAGATAATATTCCAGTAAACTATATTCAGTGTATATACTGTAAAAGTGTTTTAAAACATGATAACTTGACAGGAACAAGCTCCTTAATTCATTATATAAAAAACACAAAATGTAAAAAATATATTAAAATTAATGAATCTCAACAACTTCTGCAACTATCCTTAGCATGTCTTGCTACATATAAATTTTCTCAGGAAAGAAATCATAAAGACCTGTCAAAAATAATCATTCAACATTTATATTCATTTAGTATAGTAGAAGATAAAGGGTTCATAACATTTGTAAAAATTTGCAGCCAGAATTTAAGTTAATAAGTGAGAAAACAGTGTATAAAGATTGTAATGATATTGTAGAAAATTTTAAAATAAAGGCCCATATATTAATCCAAGAAGCACCTAAGCATTTAAGCTATATGACTGATATGTGGATGTCAAACCAAAATCTTGGTTACATGGCCCTTATGTGTTATTTTATTGATAAGGATTGGGAACTTCAAAAACTAATTTTATCGTTCAAAATGGTTCCTTCACCCTATACAGGAATTGCCATTAGTGAAACACTTTTTAGTTGTTTTCATGATTGGAATATTGCATCAAGAGTATTATTAATTACTGTAGATAATGCTACTAACAATAATGCTGCAATAAAAAATATAAGAGATATGCTTGATGAACAAAACATGCTCATTGCTGACAGAAGTTTATTACATCAACATTGCTGCACCCACATATTGAATCTTATAGTTAGTGTTGGTCTTAAGACAGTTAAAAGTATTATAAATAAAATTCAAGAATGTGCAAAGTGGGTTCATAGTTCACAATCCCAGAAACAAAACTTTGAAGATGCTGTGGCTGGGAGTATCAAACTTGCATCAAACCAGCATCCAACTCTAGATGTTCTCACTCACTGGAATTCTGTATATTTGATGCTGGTATTTTCTATTTCATATAAAAATATATTTGGCTGTCTTGCATTACAGAATATTAACTTTGAGCAGATTATGCCTTCTGATGAAGATTGGAGAAAGGCCAAGGTTATTTGTGATTTTTTAAACCCATTTTATGAAAGTAATAATAAACTTCTAGCCAGGCCTACTGAATAGTTGGTTTTGAGGCAATTAATTGCAATTTTTTGAACTTAATTAATTGTTTGGTGGTACAGCCACAATGAGTCAATTAATTGCAGTTGTTTAATAATTATATTACATTAAATATTGTATGCAGTGCTCTAATTCAGTGTTGGCCATTTTGGATCATATCTAGCTTCATATGACCAAGGTGGTCATAATTTAATAATAAAGTTTATAAGTTATAACAGGTTATAAGATCATAACCTATAATTAGCTAATAGGTCATAACAGGTCATAAGCCAGCATTGAGTGCTCTACACGATATAATAAAAGAAAATTGAAATTATTTCATCATTAATTGGGTTACAATGATTTTAATTGTATGACATATAAAAAAAATTAATTGTAATTGCTTTTCAGTAGGCCTGCTTCTAGTATGTTAAAAAAACAAATCATAATAATTAGGTATTTAATTTAATGCATATACTCCACTGTGAATATTTTTCTTCCTTTTTTGATAAAAATTAAAATACATCTTAAAAAAAATGCTACTAATAATGATCCTTTTATTTGCCAAATGGTTGTACTAATGGAATCTAAATTTGATAAATACTGGGCAGATATGGAGGATATATACTGAATTGTGTTGATGATGGATCCTCGATATAAAATGTCTTTGTTAACTCACATATACAAGGAGAAAATGCAATTATTACATTCTGAAGCAGAGGAAAAACTAAATACTATTAAAACATGGTAAGATATATATATGTAGAGGTGAAGACATAATGCTGTAACTTGTAATTATAATATGATAGCATTTTTTAATTTAATATAGTTACAGCACCTCTAATATTTTCAAATTATAATATTTTTGAATGCAAAAGTTTACTATTTTTATTATATAACTAATTTATATTTATTTATTATTGTGGTTGATACTTAAATCTGATTATGCTATATGAAGAACCAAGTTAATGATGGCCAGACTCAATGTACAGAGCAGGCTATAGCACACTTCGCAGCTGTGAGAGCTGAGCATACAGTGAACAAATCTACAGAAGAATCTTCTATTTTCTTGAATTTTATTTCATTATCAATTATCAAGGAAGCATTACAAAAACCAACCTATGACTCAGACTCATACTACAATCAATGGCTAACATGTGTAAATCTACCCCTACTTCCATATTTACAAACACTCAACTCTTTTTTAAAACATATTTATCAATACAACTTTACACAATACAACAATTTTAACTATGCATTCAGACTAGCAATCAAACTTGACTATAGTAAATGTTATATACATCTACCAAATGTGTCTCAACCCTTATCTAATTACTTTTTTCTATGACTATCAGGTTATACCTACTATCCATCTATACCTATTCCTTCTAAATTCTCTCTAAAAAACAATAACACATTAAATACTAATCTAATTATAAAGAATAATGAACTATACAATACCTATTCTCAATTAGTAGGAACTATTCTAGAGGGTAATAATGAAACTACCATAGCCAATTGATACTACAACAACATCCAATTTGATACCTGTTATAACAAATTTCTATTTTACAACCACATACTATTACTTCTTCATCCTTAAACTATTATTACTTTTTTACGACACATTCACAGCTTTGGCTACCTATCTGATAACTTATGTGATTACACATTAACTATATCAATTAAAAATAACCATAGTGAAGCTCATGTCTACCTTTCATTTAAACCCAAATCTTTACCAAATCTCTTTATTTTACCAGCTCAAGCAATCTGGCATTACCCAAATATCCAACTAAAATTAAATATATCAACAACAACCTTTACTATACCAACATCTCTAGATCATCAATTCTTTCTTACCTCTAGCTACTTACCTCAAATAAACCCTAAACCTATGATTTATCAAGATCAGTTTCTCCAAGTTCCTCATCTCTTTTTACCTCTAATTCACCAACTACATCATTATTATCACTATATGAAAACCTTATAACTGATTTTTCTCTTCAATTTAGAATTGCAACACACAATGTACAAGGATATAACCTTAGAGAAAAAAGACTATTATGGGAAGAATACTGTCTAACACACAACTTACATATAGTAAGCCTTATAGAAACAAAAATTTCAGATAAAAAATCCAATAAATTCTTCAATACACAACATTACATATACTACTAGGCCAACTTTACGACATCAAAAGAAGGCACATATATTATGGTTCAAAATCACATTCAACCTCATATTCATAATATACTGACTTACAATGGTGGTGCCATTACACTTGACATGTTCTTTAAGCATGACTACAAATTTAGAATTATATCAGTTTATCTCTCATCTACAAATTCATTAACCTGAAAAGCAATACAAGACAAAGTAAAAGGATGGATACAACAAGCATTAGCTACTAATTTATATCCTATTATACTTGGTGACTTTAACATTAATAATGATTCTACAATTTCATCAGCTATTAAATATCAATTGCTAAACTACCTACATAGTATCAATTTATATGACTTGGCCAATTACTTCAATAATACCTACAGTACATAGCAAAGTACTAGATATTAAAACAGAATAGACTATATCTGGGCTGATGACTTATTAATCCTATATTTACACAAATTCAAACTTGACAACTCATTATCATCAACAAATAGTGATTATCAAATACTAATATCTACTGGAAATTTTTATTCACTATATCTAAAGCCAGAAACAAAAACAGATGTAAAAGAAGAACATATAACTACAAAGCAATGACTAAGGAAAACTGGAAAGAATTCTCAAGACCAATATGATAGAATATCAAGTGTCAACAACAACAGATACTACAGAAAGTCTTGAACATACTGGCACAAAATAGATATCTGTATAACTATAGCAGCTCTTAAACACATCTCAAACAAAAAATATACTATTAAAAACACTTTTCATACTTTTACACCAAAAGCCACACAACTACACAATGATCTCAAAACTATCAGACACATTATGTATCAAGTTAAAAAGCATTTTACACACAATACTACCATACTTGACAATATACAGAGCCTAATTAACCAAATCAATATAACATACAACTTTAACATCAACCCACCTTCACATTAACAATCCAATTTGGCCACATGGATACAAGAAACAAAACTTTGCTGGAAAACACTCTATAATGCCAGAAACCTTGAAAATACACAACACCTATGCAAACATATTAATACAGCAATAGACAAAAGATGTGAATGATTACTTATACAACCAACAAAAATAATTAACAGTATACTAAATAGATACAAAGAGCCAGTGCACTTTCATAATATCAAAACTGACTCAAACATTATTACTGATTCCAAACTAATTAAACAACACATTTTGGACTATTTTAATGAATGGATGGTACACCATTCTTACAATGAACAAATATTCAATGAATATTGGCAAACAGAATACACATCAAACCCAAAAATCAACTCTAAATGGTACAATTCTCACTCGAACATATCAACATAGAAGAAGTTACACAAACTATTCAACAACTTCTAAGTAACAAAGCCTGCAGACCATCAGGAATTAGTTATGAGATGATTAAGCATATTGGAATAGATATGCTAACAGCACTTACAGCATTCCTTAACAGATGCCTAACTCTTTAAAACATTCCAAAACAATGAAAAAAAATAGAATATACCTGATATCAAAAAAGCTATAATTTGATAGAAATCTTAACAACACCAGACCTATTACTTTAGTTGAACACTCTAAAAAAGTTTATACAAAAATTCTTACTAAGCGCTTAAACAAAATCCTTACAACTCATTCTATCTTAAATTCACATAACTATGTTGCACTTTCAGGCAACTCAACTAACAACCCTATACATATACTTAACAATTTCATCAAAGATGCAACCTGTACTAAAAAACAAATCTGGATCCTATCACAAGACATGAGTAAAGCTTATGATTCAGTTAACATTCAACTCCTTAACAAAGCATTACAATGAATACATATGTCTACATGTCTAGTCAATACATAATTAACCTACTTCAAAACTGCTCCAATTAAGTAATTACTAACTTCAACTCTTCCCCTTCATATGAAGTACAGGATGGTATCAACCAAGAAGAAACTATAACATCTCTTCTCTAGCACATTTACTATGATCCACTTATTAACAACATAAACAAAAGATACATTGGCTATACCTCAACAACCAAATAGATCTCTCAACTTAATCCAATAAAATATTAATCAGCAACAACTTCAACATCAATCTTGGCATATATGGATGATACAATATGGTTAGCGAAAACCAAAGAACAACTCCAAGAGATAGTACAAATAGCATCAACATTCTATATCATGTCTTATATTAAAGTTAACCCACATAAATCCATTTTAATTTCTAATACAAAATTAACTCCAAACTATCAATTTCATGAACTCTACAATACAAACACTACCTTGCCACACACCTTTTAAATTTCTAGGATATTAATTTACAACTATCTTCAAATACACTACTCAAATTAAACTAATCAAACAAGAAGCATTAGAACTTAATGAAATACTCAAAACCAAAAATATAACTGATAAACAGAAGAAAAACATAGATTTCTATCAAAAATAATTACTTTTATACATCCATATTTAGAAAGACAACAAGTTATAA